GGACACAGAGGGCCGTGGCGGCGCTCCTGGGCCCTGGGACATGCCGCCCTCCGCTCCTGCGTGCGGGGCGCAGGAGAAGGCGCTCAGGAGACCGGGACCTGGAGCTGGAGGCCCAAACTGTCAGCAGGCTCCGGAGGCGGCACCGTTCACCCCCGAGGCGGGGGCTGGGCGCAGTCTGAGGGAACGCGGGGCCCTGACCCTGCTCCCCGTCCCTCTCCTGGCAACAGGGTACCTCCATCCCCCGTCCCTCGGCCAAAGGCCCCCTTTTCTGCTCACCCAGCAACAGAGGGACCCCCCTCCGCTCTGTAGGTAACAGGCTCCCTCTCTGGTTACCTAGCAACAGAGAACCCCCCGCCCCACTGATAACAAGTCTCTCCTCTCGTTCCTTAGCAACAGAGGAATCCTCCTCCTGTCTCTAGGTAACAAGGGTCTCTTCTGGTCGCCTAGCAACAGACGACTCCCCTCCCACCACTAAACAGGGCTTTCTCTTCCTGTCACCTGGCAACAGAGCCCCTTCCCCAACCCATACCCCAACCGCGGCGCTTGCCCGTTGCCAAGCAACGCCCCTCACCCCTCCTGCTCTTTGCTCCCCGGAACCAGGGGCTCCCGCATCCCCCTGAGCAGCGACTCTGGGCTCCGAATGCGGGGCAGGAAGCCCGGCGCTGACTGGGTAGGCGGAACAGACTACAGCTCCCGGCGCCCCCCGCGTGCCAGACTACGACTCCCGGCGGCCTCCGCGAGAAACGTCTGGGCGGCGTGACCCGGAAGTCCCCTAAGCCTCCGGGATCGCGGGAGGGCAACTTCCGTCACTCTCCGCGGGGAGCCGCCGCAGTGCGCTCTGCAGAGGCCCTCGCCTTCGCTCACCCCCCCATCTCCCTGCTGCTCAGAGGATTCTGGGAAATGTAGTGGCTAGGTTCTCGCTGCTCAGAGGATTCTGGGAAATGTAGTGGCTAATGGTTCTCGCGATGGCTTCCCGGCTCTGTGCTCCCAGCCGAGCCCGCCCCCTGAGGTGGCGTTGCCCAGTGTGTGCGGGCGCAGCGTGACGTCACAGAAGGGTAGCCAGACTGTGCATCTTTACTGAGACAGGGGGCAGTCCGGGGAAACTGAGGCAGGGCAGCGACTGCACGGGGGCGGCGGGCGCGGTGGGGGGGGGTAATGAGG